ATCTATGGTCATCATTCTGGCCACTGTTGTCACCACTATTACATCCATATCTATGTCCGCCATTTGCACCAATGGAGAAGTAAGAGGCGGCGGAACTTATTATATGATCAGTCGGTGTTTAGGTAACATTATTAAGCTATTCAGCCGTTATTACCCGAAAGTAATCTATGCGTTAATTTAAAGACTTCTTTCAAACGGAAATATGTTTTTATTATTTATCTTTTCTCCGCTTATATTTAATAGATTTTATTTAATGAAAGTTCGTTCAATACTGTACTGTACTGTAGTTTTTAAATATTAAATACATTACTTTCTGATATGACGACTGAATTGTGTGTATATATAGTGTTTAAAATTATCAAATCGGTATAATTAGGGCCTGAGTTCGGCGGTGCGATTGGTGTTATCTTTTCACTGGCGAACGCAGTGGCCGTCGCTATGTATTCGGTCGGCTTCGCTGAGGCCTTAAGAGATCTGCTTTTGGTAATGAAATGATTGAATTTCAAACGTTTAACTAATATTTTATAGTTGTTGACTATATTAAGGACAACGGCGTTTCCATATTGAATGGTGGGCTAAACGACGTGCGAATTATAAGTTGTTGCGCTGTAATAGCAATGCTTTGCATCGCTTTGATTGGAACCGAATGGGAGACAAAGGTTTGATTGAATTTGAATACAATTTGTAAATATAATTATGACTATTTGTTTTTAGGCTCAAATAGTTTTGCTGATAATCCTATTGACAGCAATGTTTGATTTTCTCATCGGAGCAGTCATTCCGCCCAATGATACTAAAAAGTCAAAGGGATATATCGGATGGTCGGGTGGGTCTCCAAGTCATCAATTATAGGGTTATGGATATAATAACAATAAATTAATTAATTTTAGGCCAACTTATTGTTGAGAATTTTATGCCCCGATTTGAAGGCGAATCCTTTTTCTCTGTGTTTTCGGTCTTCTTTCCGGCGGCCACTGGAATACTCGCCGGCGCTAACATATCAGGCGATCTAAAAGTATGCCATTATATTACATATTTTATTAAATCATTTAAAGTATATTAGGAAATGGAAAATGTATTGTAATATTTATTTAATAGGACCCCCAGTCGAGTATACCGAAGGGCACACTACTGGCCATTGCCATTACAACGTTTAGTTACTTATTATTCTTGTTTATATGCGGGGCGACAGTTGTGAGAGACGCCAATGGTATCGAAGGAATAGTAACCGACAATACAATGGATTTGATAAAAATGTTGTCCAATTGTACCACAAATGAAGAGAAAGTGTGCGAATTTGGTTCCGCCAATAATTATCAGATAATGGAATTGGTTTCAGCGTTTGGTCCTCTTATATATGCCGGTATATTCGCGGCCACTCTGTCCTCAGCTCTGGCGAGTTTAGTGAGTGCTCCCAAAGTATTTCAAGCGCTCTGTAAAGACAAACTGTTCCCATATATTGAGTACTTCGGCAAAGGGTTTGGAAAGAACAATGAGCCGCGAAGAGGCTATATGTTGGCCTTTATTATAGCCCTTTTATGTTGCGTTATTGGAGACCTCAATGCAATCGCGCCAATCATATCAAACTTCTTTTTGGCCGCATATTGTTTGATCAACTTTTCATGTTTTCACGCGTCGTTCGCTAAATCGCCCGGTTTTAGGCCCGCATTTAAATTCTATAATATGTGGCTCAGTCTTCTCGGAGCCATACTCTGTCTTATCGTTATGTTTATAACCCATTGGTCCACAGCTTTGGGCACTTTTGTTATCATATTAGGACTATATCTTTGGATTCTATATAGAAAACCAGGTATTTTTAAATTAATTTTATTATTTATTGAGTTTTGTAACATATTTTTACTTTTATTAAATAAGATGTCAATTGGGGCTCATCTACTCAGGCACAGACCTATTTGAGGGCTTTGAATTCAGTCTATCGTTTGAATTTAGTGCCCGATCACGTCAAGAATTTCAGGTTACAATCTCTCTCTCTCTCTCTCTTTCTTTCTTTCTTTCTTTCTTTCTCGGATATGCTAACAATTAAGAAAATAGGTACATTATAGTTTTTAATAGTAATAAGTGAATTGTTTAATGTAAAGACATTTGTAATTCAATGAAATTTTTTTTGAATTAATTTTTTTTGTTAATTTTTTTGAATTAATTTTGAAGAATAAAGTTTTGGACAAAAGTACTGATGGATTGAAGACCGACAATGCGGTCAAATTAGGTTGGATTCAAGGAGTTCTTGTAAGATATGACTTGTTTTTTAATAGTAAATGTAAAGAATGTATTTTTAAAGTCATAAATATATGGTTAGGTTCGGTGTCTTCTGAATATATGGGGTGTTATGCTATTTATGCGCCTGTCATGGGTGACCGCTCAGGCAGGTATTGGTCTCGGATCTATGGTCATCATTCTGGCCACTGTTGTCACCACTATTACATCCATATCTATGTCCGCCATTTGCACCAATGGAGAAGTAAGAGGCGGCGGAACTTATTATATGATCAGTCGGTGTTTAGGTAACTTATTATTAAGTTATTCAGCTGTTATTACCCGAAAGTAACCTATGCTTTAATTTAAGTACTTCTTTCAAACGGAAATATGTTTTTATTATTTATTTTTTCTCCGCTTATATTTAATAGATTTTATTTAATGAAAGTTTCTCCAATACTGTACTGTACTGTAGTTTTTAAATATTAAATACATTACTTTCTGATATGACGACTGAATTGAGTGTATATATAGTGTATAAAATTGTCAAATCGGTATAATAGGGCCTGAGTTCGGCGGTGCGATTGGTGTTATCTTTTCACTGGCGAACGCAGTGGCCGTCGCTATGTATTCAGTCGGCTTCGCTGAGGCCTTAAGAGATCTGCTTTTGGTAATGAAATGATTGAATTTCAAACGTTTAACTAATATTTTATAGTTGTTGACTATATTAAGGACAACGGCTTTTCCATATTGAATGGTGGGCTAAACGACGTGCGAATTATAAGTTGTTGCGCTGTAATAGCAATGCTTTGCATCGCTTTGATTGGAACCGAATGGGAGACAAAGGTTTGATTGAATTTGAATACAATTTGTAAATATAATTATGACTATTTGTTTTTAGGCACAAATAGTTTTGCTGATAATCCTATTGACAGCAATGTTTGATTTTCTCATCGGAGCAGTCATTCCGCCCAATGATACTAAAAAGTCAAAGGGATATATTGGATGGTCGGGTGGGTCTCCAAATTCATCAATTATAGGGTTATGGATATAATAACAATAAATTAATTAATTTTAGGCCAACTTATTGTTGAGAATTTTATGCCCCGTTTTGAAGGCGAATCCTTTTTCTCGGTGTTTTCGGTCTTCTTTCCGGCGGCCACTGGAATACTCGCCGGCGCTAACATATCAGGCGATCTAAAAGTATGCCATTATATTAAATATTTTATTATTTGGTATATCAATCATTTAAAGTATATTAGGAAATGGAAAATGTATTGTAATATTTATTTAATAGGACCCCCAGTCGAGTATACCGAAGGGCACACTACTGGCCATTGCTATTACAACGTTTAGTTACTTATTATTCTTGTTTATATGCGGGGCGACAGTTGTGAGAGACGCCAATGGTATCGAAGGAATAGTAACCGACAATACAATGGATTTGATAAAAATGTTGTCCAATTGTA